TTTCCCTATTTGTTTCATTTTTACTTTGTTGTCCAGTGCACTGATAAACATTAGTAGTAGTTTTGCTAATATATGTCCACAGTTTGCTTTCTGTGGCCAGTGGTTTGCCCTGGAGGTAGGGGAGGATGTGGAATGCCTGTGCTCACATTAACATGAGTGCAAAAATACACAGCCCCTCCCAAAATATCATGTCCTACATCAGCTGGGAAGTAAGAGGATTGTATCTCTTACAAGGACCACAAAACTGGAGCTCTGCAGAGCAAGGGTAGGTAACATTTTCCACCTAAATTAGTGGCAGGTCTGCTGGTTTACTAATCTTGATGAGAAAAAAAAAAAGTGTCTAAACATTACACTTTTCAATGTGACCTTCTAAAGAAAATAGAATTCAAAATCATGTTTTCATTTAAATGTTTCCTTCAGTTTTATTACAAAGATTAAAAAAAGAAGTGACTCTACAAAGCTAAAGCCAAGTATTTAATTTGGGGTAAATTAATTTAAAAACAAATTACCTTAATTTTCTTCTTGTTGGTGATAGTTTGAAACCATACAGAAGCAAAACATCATTTATCTGCACAGGTCTAATGAAGCCAAGAAAAACACACTCAGTACATGGCTACAAAGGAAAGAAAGAGATTTCCTTATTATCTCTGCTGTCTATTCTACCCAATTATAGATACACCAAAGAATTTCTGTGAGGGCTCTACTTTGCCCTCCCAAACTGATTAAAAAGGTAGCATGCTACAGAATCTTTGTTAAATGTTTCAAAAGGAGGCAGACAGTGAAGATGATAGATTGCAAAGCAGCTGTAGGGGGAGACTAGCACACAACAAGACATGGAGCCACAGGGATTATTTCCAAGGCTGATGCTTCTTCATATCTTTATCTGAGGTGAGGAGGAAACTTGAAATGACTACTGGAAATATTTCAGGTCAAAATTTCTTAGAAAGTAAGTAATCCATACAGGCCAACATGGGACTTCTGGTAAAGTGAACATATATTTTAAAGGGACAGTTCAAGGTCATACAGCAAGAAGCAAAAAAATGCATGAAACATGCATAAGGTAAAGAACAATATCCTAGAAGGCAGCTATTCTGTAAGGGACTTAAAGTCATAGTATAGAAGCCACTGGAAATGAGCTTTTGGTGTGAAATTGCAGCAAGGAGAAAGTCTGACAGCATGTCAATGAGAAGTTAGGAGGTCATATGTAGTAGCAATAAGGTGGTTACTGCCATCCACATCAAGCTTTTCAAAAGGATTGAAAAGGGTTCAAAAAGTGACCTGGTGTTTGGATATGATCCCATTGAAACGGTGGTGGGAAAATAACTATGTGGAAGGCACAGCCACACCTTGGTCATGATCTTCTCATGCATACACGGGAAAGACACTTCTGAAAGTAAATTGCTTTTTAATCCAGCAGAGAAAGGCAGAAGGATTAAAATGATTAGGAATTAAATCCTGACAAATGCAGACTTGAAGTAATTGCAACTACTTGCAATTTTTTAATAATGATCTTGGTTAACCTCTGGGATAATTTCCCCTAGAATATGATGATTTTCTACTGCTTAGTCTTCAAATCAGGCCTCTAAGAGACCTTCTTGGCTGGACTGGAAGTCTTGTCAAAATGATTGAATGAAATCCTTACGGACACATCTAGATGGGAAATTTGAGATCAAAGCAGCACCCACCCCTGAAGAGTGCAGCTCTGTGGAGGTTTATGGAAATGAGTTCTCTAGTCCACCTATCTGACATGAGCAATTTGAGAAAGGTGAAATGCAGTGTACAAACCCCGTCGCCCTTGGAGCGGTTTTAATAAGGAACTGAAAGTTAACGCTGTGTTCACAAAGGGAAAATATATATCTGTGTAAGGATGACAGTATTGTAAGTCTTTCTATACTCTGCTTTAGGTATCAGACTTAAATATATATGTGTATTAAGTGTGTCAAGGAGTGTGTGCACAACCACATTATTTCAGCTGCTAAGGAATTAAATGGAAAGTCAGCTTCCTCCTGAGCTACGACTCTTTCTCAGTCCTGCAAAACCTGAAGAAATAAGGCGGCAGCAAGAAGGACATAGTTGGAGGTGAGATTGGGAAGAGCTTTCTTTTTCAATAGGTTTCCAGGCAATCCTCCAGAGAATGGGGCAGAAACAGATTGCAAGGAAGAGGAAAGGAGGCAAGGGACTGGGAAAACTGTCATGAGATGCTTTGTGCAGTGCTGGGGAGCTGGGAGTGAGATGAGCAGGTGTAGGTTCCCCTGCTGTTGCCAGTGGGGGGCCATCAGAGCACCAGAGCCTGAATCCTGTGAAGCCAGACATTGTTGGTGCTCTAAGAAGGGACAGGTTTCATGGATCCCGCTGGCTCCTTGCTTTCCTGAGAGGGGAGGAGGCTATTATTAGTGATCTGTCTGGGGTCATAACCCATCCAGCAGCTGGGGAAATAACAACTAATAGTGTAAACAGGGGAACTGTGCTGCAGTCCCCGTATGTAACCAGGAAAAGGAGTCAGTACAGGGAGGCTTGCAAAAGCAGTGACCCATAATAAAAAGAGCAGTGCCTGGTTAGTCAGATCAAGCTCCCAAAATAGAAAGGCACTTTTGATAAATGGGTTGGCCTCATTTGTGTCTTTTTTTTTTTAAATATACATTTTTCTGTGGAGTCCCAGGAATGTTTCCTAGAAACTGGTGATGCAATGTGACACTTCAGGCTTTAAAAATAAATGTTACAAACTTCAAAATTAAATGTTTTAGATTGAGGCTAAGCCTCCTAGGTACTGGCAGGGTTGCAGCCCCAAAGGTTCAGGCTGTATTTGAGACGCAGTGAAATGTCTGGGTGTTATTATTGGCCTGTGCTCGAGCTGACCTTGAGTTTAGCACCTCTCCTTGTCTGGTTTACAGAGCTTCCTGGTGAGAGGACAGCTCTCACATAGACCCATTTCTTATTCTACATCTGGTTGACATCTGGGATGGAAACATCAGCCAGGGAGAACAAAACATCTTCTGGCCAGGACTGACACGAGTTCTGACCCAAACTGACTGATGCAACTGGTGTTATGTACACTAAGATGGAAGTGTTATAAATGAGAGCAAATGAATGCAAAGATTGCCATCTGCCAGCCTTGCAAACAGTGTTACCTACTCACAAGCTGGTGGGAGTGATAAAGCCATTGCAGTGTACCGCAAAGGGTTTCTTGATGATACAGGTGCTGAGGTTTGGCATTCAGAAAACCACAGAAATACTCTTGGGATAGTTACAGACAGTAAGTCACAGAAATAGTTCTTGAAATTTTTAGGAAAAGAAGACTCCGTTGTCTCTAATCATCAATGAGCGCAGCCAACATCCCTCTCTTACAGCAATATAACCCCACAGGGAAGCTGTACTACTGGCATCTCATGATGTTAATGTTCAGGATTGTCCCCTGAGTGCTGTTGGTTACCTCTCTCAAATCACATGCCTACACGGCTAAATGAATTTGGCCACAGCCATGAACTCACCAGCTGCGAGGTCCTGAATTCTCATCTTGCTTTTGAACCTCTGCACAAGAGACTTCATGCTAGCATAGGTCTGAACACTGACCCATGCCACCTTCTTTCTCTGGCGTGCTTTCTTTGTC